TCTATTTCCTGGATGCGTTCTTTCAGCTGTCTACATTGAATCGCAAGATTTGCTCGACAAAGTTGCTGCCACGTTTTCATGGATGTGGCCTACTTTCACTTCTCTAAGACAGAACATTAACTTTATACCATTCTTAGATCTTAAATGCCCTGAATTGCCAAACTAAAAAAGATTTCTGTTCCAGCTGACCGACAACTTGGTGGTACTCTGATTCGGGAAGACCCCATCTACCAAAATCCGATGGAGGAGAGCTTGACTGGATCTTGCCAAATGAGTCACGCACCAATCTAAAGGAACATCGCAAGCGGATTGACAATCTTAATAGTTTTATTGCTGTTGCTATGATTGCCATGGTCTGCTATGAGATGCCCACTTACCCCAACAGTTTTTGGTGGCCTTTTGTATGTGCTATCATCATTACTGCCACAGATTCAAACGGACTTAATGTCTTTCCCAAGCACTGTGTTACTCGAGCAATGATTGTATGGGAAGGGAGTGTCAAGGATTATATCAACAAATGCGACGACTTTTTGGAATCATCGTTGTGGCAGTAACCTTAAATTTCTTATCTATATTGGCAAAGGATTCTAATACTGATTCAACAAAGCCTGCAGAAGAGATATTCGATCTGTTCTACCAACAGTCCGAGAAGGAAGACGTTCTCGGAGAATGGAAGAGGGTCTATCTTGGTAAGCTTCATCATGCTCCATGTTTGCCTTATACTTCCTACGCAGCCATGCGAAATCGCCAGAAAACATTTTCGCACACTTGACCAGAGCTCACTCACAAATTATGGACGTTGTAGGAACCAGTGATACACCTACAATCAAACTACCTGGTCTAGGTAAGTTCCATCATTTTACAGAACTAGCTGTCCCGGCACTATTCTGGACAGTAGCAAATGGAGCATACCAAGGACAAAGATTAGGTGCACAGCCCAGAGACAACAACCAGTGGAATTCCATTAAAAAATGGATTGGCTCATGGTGGGAGTGGGCAGGTCTGTCAATTGCCCCTCTCTTATCGTAGCCTCCAACTATGTACCACTGGGTGTGCCGCTACAAAGTGTCGCAGACAACAGAACATTTCTTGACCTAGCGCGGAACCGGATAGCCCATGACTTCTTGAAGTACGAAGTGCAGCCCACTGAATATAATCCTCTAAAAAGATTTATGGAAACCGTGGAAATTCAAGATATGTTAATCAATCTTGAGTCGAGATATGCTAAATTTCGTAGGCCTGTGAATCACCAATATATGAGGTAGTGTGCTGCATATTCAGCTCCTGACCTACAGAGGTTTCTACTGGGGATCTGCGCGTTTGGTAAGCACAAAGCACAAAGATATTTCATTTCCTCGGAACTTCCCATGCGCCGCGTATGATCTTGGAAAAAAGTTTTGTCACTGT